AGATTATATTATAATATTTAGATTATAGTGTGATATCATAACCTAATTCAAGTAGGATACACACTTTAATATAATTATATTAAAGTGTGATATATTACTAGTTATAATTTTTATTTAAAATTGACAAAAAGTATTGAATAAATATAAATAAAATATATTAAATAATAGACAATTATCTATTAAAATCTATTGTAATTATCTATATTTAACTTAAATTTATATATAAATTACAGATATTAATTTTAAGTTAAGGAGATATATCTATAAATAATATAGAAAATTTCAAACCATCCATTATATCCATTATATAATAACAATTCATATTTATTATATTAATCAAATCTAAATTCTCTATTTTTTTTTTATTAAATTGATATCACCACAATATAAAGTAAACTTTTTCTATATAGTTTTTAATCTTAAAGAATTCTATATCTTATAAATGCTTGACTTCTTGAATTAATAATATATATCTCTATTTTATTTACAATTTCTTTAAAAAATAATAGAAAAATTATTACTGATAAACTAAAATATGTATTATAATATAAATATTAAATTTAGATAAAGAATATAAAGAAAATGAAAGTTTATCTTTAACATTAAATTTTTTATTATACTTTAATTTATTATTAACATTAAAACTATTTATATTTTTTGAAAACATTACAACTTTAAGTTTTACATCAATATAAAACTATTTTATTTATAATAATTATAATAAATTTATGCTATTATTTTAATAATACAAATTAATTATTTTTATAATATAAATATATAAATAATAAATATATTAAATAAAATAAAAATATAAAATATAAGAAAAATAATAATTATCATTATATGTAAAATATAAAATAAATTATTAAATAAACTAAGAATATGAAAATCAAATAAATCAGGCTTATTAGACTAATTTATAAAATTAAAAAAATCAGAAGAATTATAAAAATCAAAAAAATTAGAAAATTATACATATCCTCTAATTTTATAATTAGCATAAAATTAAATTATTAAATTCTTTGCAAATCAATTTTTAATATTAAATTTTAGTTAGATAATATAAATATATAAATTCAAACACTAGTTTAAATTTTAATAATAATATATAAATCAGTATTTATTAAACAAAAACAAAAACAAATAATTTTAATTATATTTTATTATACTAAATTTAATTACATTAGGAAAATTTTTAAATGTAAACCTTTGTAAAATTATACTAAAAAGTGTAAAAATTGTGAAATTTTATACTATAATATTGCAATAGTTTATAGGTTTTATAAAAGTTTACAAATCATGAAGATTTACATTTAAATGTAGCCTTATATAATATTTACAGTTCAAAATTATAAAGAGTTACATAAAGTTATAAAAGGATATGAATAGTATGTAAATTTTATAAAGGTTTACATTTAAAAAATAATAGTTAGATTAATAATAATTAAAAAGAATTACAAAAATTACTTTTCATGAAAAATGATAAACAAATTATAAAAAGTATATCAAATAAAATTAAAACAAACAGTATATTAAAAATCATAAATAATAAGTATTAATTATATTTGATATTAAAATTTTTTTTAAATATTTTTTTATCTAATCATATATTTTCAAGAATCCAAATTATAAATCAATATCTTCAAAATAAATATAAGATGATTGTTAGAAAAATAGGATTTAAAGATAAAAATCTTTTTTTAAAAAAATTAAAAAATAAATAAAATTTAATTTTAAAATTAAGCAATTTATTTTTAGATTAAATGATTTATATTATAGGATTTAAATAATTAGCTAAACAATTTTATAAATTAATCATTTTTAAATAGTTGATTAAACATGATTATTATTTACAAAATTTATTTCTAGATTTACTAAGTAAAATTTTTAATATTTAATTATTTATTTAAAAAAATAAGCTGTATATTTTAAAATTTTAATTAATTAAAAGTTTAAATATTATAGATTAATATATATCAAAAATTTAATTTTAAAATAAAATTCTTAGAATCTCATTTTCTAGCAATTCTTTTATATAATATTGTTAATATTCAATTTTAGTGAATTGTTACAATTAAAGAGTGTATTTAAAAGATTCAAAATGTGACTATTTTAATAATTTATTGATAATTTCTGATTTTAAAACTTATAATTAATTGTCCAGAGCGAAGCAGAGAACTATATATGTTTATGAATATTAAGTGTAACCATATCACGTGGTGAAGTCCATTTGTCTGCATGTATCATGTCACTAAAATTTAGTGTTACACTGATAAACAAATCTGTGATAAACATAAAATAAAAGTGTTACATGATGTATTACATGAAAGTGTAACATGAAAGTATTACAGTATATGATAAGTGTGAAAAAAAGTTTTTTCTAAAAATAACAAAGGTTTTTTTGCAACAATTAGTTAGATTCCACTATTTCGTAAAAATAAAATGTATTTGCAGTTTTTCACGCTAATATAGTATAATAATATAAATATAACTAACAATAATTATTTAGAACGAAAACTTTTACTATCTATTTTTTTTTATTGTTAGATGTGTTACATTTAGTTCTTGGTATCATAGAAACTAAATGTTTCTCTTCGTCTAACCTTTCTTGTAATCTTTGCACTCTTTAATGCGTTGAAGTCTCTCGAAGTTAAAGGGTTTGAAGAGAAGATCTTTGAAGGCGTACACTCAAAATACTGCCACAAAAGAAAGACCTGCTACATTCTTTGTCATCAAGATCTGCTATGGCCTTTCATAATGTGAGACCCTAGCTTTTATGTACCGTATTGCCCACGCAAGATGAAGAGGATGTATTTAGAATAAAATTGTATTAGTAATATAAATTTTATTGACGAAAACGTAATTTACAAATTTAGTTAGTTAGATTTTTATTGAACTATGATATAATGATTGTTAATGTTCCAATCACGTGATACTGATACTTTTATTAATATATATATTTTTTACATATTTATTGTGTTACATTCACTATTCTATCTATTGTATTACATTCAATCAAGTTCGAACTCTAATTTACAAAAATACTTCACTCCGGACTCACAACGGTTTCTGTTTCCTAGTATTATTTAAAAGTTTATGTAATTATTAAGATTTATAATTTATCACTAAGATTCATAAAAATTTATACATTTTCACTAAGATCTATGATGATTATATATTACTAAGATTTATTTATCACAAAGACTTATATATCACAAAGGCTCATAAATATGTAAGAATAAAAGAAGAATTTATTGATACTAATATAATAAATAAGAATAAAAATAAAAGGTAATTTTACAAAAAGATAAACATATAGTTACTTAAGATATTTTGAAAAATTGATATTATATATAACCTATCAATTTCTTCCTTTTGCTATAAATTCTAAGCTACTGTATTTATATATTTGAAATCATATAATTATAAATTAAGTATATTAAATATGGTACATATATTTTTTATAATAAAATTTATAATATTTTATATGTAAAATTAAAAAAAAATAAAAGTATTTTCTTTATAAAACTAAAATATTTAATTTTTATTTATTTTTATATTATTAAAAAAAACTTTACAAAATATATAAATTTAAATTTAAAACATTTATTTATATATTTAAATATTATTTATTTAAAGTTAAAAATTTTGTATATATTTAATAAAAAATTATAATTTATCACTAGTGTGATATATCACCAGTCTTAATTTATTAGGGTTAGGTTTTGGATCAGATGGTTAGAAATATTTGTTATGTAGTATCACCCTATCAGTTTTTCATTTTTATTAAGTATTCCAAGGATTTGGTTTTTTTTGATGACATAATCCTATTTGTCATCTATATATATCATACTGGTAATAAAATTATTATAAATTGCACTTGATAAATTACAAAATCCTATTTAATATTTTAATTATTAAAATGAAATTTTATTTACAGCTAATTTCATAATTTATGGATCTCTAATAAATTGCAACTGAATGTAACTGAAAATATTTTATAATAAATTACTATAAAATAAAAATATTATGACTGAATACAACTAAAAATTATTAATGGTCCATGAATTATGAAATTAGCTGTAAAAATAATAAATTTATAATAAAAATTTTATAATGTATTTTATCTAAAAATTTTGTTAGTTTTTATGTAAAATTTTGCATAATAATTGATTAAAAATCATGAATGAAAATCATTACTTTTCTTTCAAATTTCCAACAAATAAGCTAAATATTTTAAACTATTTAATCAACTACACCATCTATTTCATTAAGATGCTTAGATTTCATCTCTCTCATGATAGTATAATGAATGTTTCTTATAAGCTTAAAGTCTGATTCTAATATTTTTTAAAAATATTTAATTTTATTAGTATTATAAAAAAATATATAATAGATTTAAATAATCATTTAATCATGCTTATTTATAATAGTAATAATTTTAACCTACTTATTAAATTTCGATGCTACGTTTAAGAAGGATCCATACTTCAAGGTGACCCTTTGTGAAATGAATCGCTTCATACTCAATCACGCTATTATAAATAATAAATCCCTTAAAAATCATGTGTATAACAGAATTTCAAGATATACTTACAGAGATTATAGTATTACGCATCGAACTTTTTTGTTCGGTCGAATGGTTGATCACGTACGTAATAAGCACGAAATTTAATTCGCGAAAGTCGGAAGTATTGGACTATTTTGTACATTGTCTTGGTAAGTTATATAATGTGTAAAGAACATTATGAAAAATACTCACCTTTCGAAGCTATTAAAGATCACCCGGTATTAATGGTAATTCTTGTAAAAAAATTTAATTCTTCACATGTGAAGAACTTGTTGTATATAGTTCTTGTCCGGGTCGATTAAGAAAGAATGGCGGAGGCTTTCAAAAAATAATAAGAACAAATTACCATATATTGTAAAAATAAGTCACTTTCGTGCGAAAATTTCATCCCAAATGCATAAAAGTGGAATTTCCGGTTGTCAAAGTCCATTTACCTTTTTTGATATGTAGCCGTGAATTGTTGATACGCAAATGAAGTCATTTGTAAAATGTTATCGAGAAAGTTATCGCTGTTAACTTCCTCGATATCCACGTTTTCTTCATCGGGCTTGAACTGAATACTTTCGAAATGTAAGAAAAGGCGAGAAGGCAATTTTTCAGGATTGTTTGCAAGTAACTTAGTGCGTACCTTCTTGGTCCTCTCAGGGGGGATTAAATCTGAATCTAATGTATTATCACGTATATCGCCCGAAGACGTCGCATCCTCTTGGTATGGTAAACGCAGTTGTTTCCCATAGAATTTATCTGATTCATCAAGCATATGAAGGGTTAACTTGACGCTAATATGAATTATAAAATGTCTCTTTAAATTAATGAAATTAGAAATTGACGTTGATGTTTTTTTGCATTACCTGTAGCCTTTTAATGCCAATAGGAAGACAAATTGAATTCGTATGCTCCAGATCCGCCTTGTTAAATAAATTAGATAATTAGGATATAATTTCCTTGTTCCAACACCCCAACAAACCAAACTGAAACGAACAAAGCGGTTCGCAATAGTTGGACCAGAAACTTTCTGATAAATCCAAGCTCAGGTAACACCTGCTAAAGGAGACTATTCCGCCGAACTAAACAGAAATAAATTACTTTCTTTTTCCCATCGTCAGCTGACTTTGGGCTCATTTCTTTTACAGATAGCAGGGATCGTTTGGTCCACGCGCTGTCTAGGCCTTTCTGATTGTCCATATACTGTAGTAAATTGTCGGTTTAAAGTTAAAAGATCTATGTATGACCTATGAAACTTATCGCGAAGTTCTTTCAAGAAACCCTGCAATCCACGCAATGTATCATCAAGACCACTTCCGGTTTTAAAATTTGCGATAGCAATTACCCAGTCACAATTAATAAATTCACAAATAATTCAATTCTTTGA